GCAAACCACCCACCTGCTCCCTCCTGCACCCACGCGTCTGGTGAGCGCTACACATCAGCCCCAGCTCTGCACCGCAAAGGACAAGAGGGAAGAACCTGACAGGCAAACGATACAACAAACAGACCGATACCAAGCCATGCATGAAGCTGAAGCCATCCCAGAATGCTTTGATAGAACTTGTGAAGATATTTAAGACACCCTAGAGCAGTTGACTCTTCCGTTGTGAGTAGAGATTATTTTTTCTAACATTGATTTCTACTCACAAAGCTTCCTCAGCACAGCACCGCAACAGCTATCATTGATCTGATGCTTTTCCTCAGCAAATCAAGTACAGTTTTTAATAACTAATGCAGAGTGCCAACAAGAGACATCTCCAAACAGAATATTTGGAGTGTAGGAGGAGACGTGCTGTAGTGAAGGCACAAATAAACCGTGTGTCCGAATCTTCCGTCATATCACTGTGCACCAGACCTATCCAAACCGCGTCCCTGCGCAGGGATGGAACAACAGCTGTTCACACTACACACCACTAATGAAAAATGGCAAATCTCAGCACCCTGGCTAGCAAAAAGACAGAGATAATGGCCATAAATGTATTTCAAAGTCATCAGTCCATCCTGGATAGCTACCATCTTTCCCAATATCGTCCCATCATTAAGGATCATGGGGTTTTCGAGACAGTTCTGAGACATCGGCCAACAAACGCACTCTAGCTGGAGGTACACCTCTGTGGGTATGGCCACATCTAGAAGATGTTGCTTGTTTAACTGGACATTTACTTAGCTCCAAAAATACACATCCCCAGAGCTCACAAGAACTGTAACTGAACTTCAGCCAAACCAAAGCTCTGAGGCAGTTATTTGTTTGGAAAAATAAAACACTCGTTGTTCGCGGGGAGCTGCTTAGCAGTGATTCTTTTGCAGCTTCCACAATGACAGACACACGAGATTTGTGGTAAAACACAGAAAAAGGTGGGAAAAATTATCTGGGACTGTATTTCCTCTCCATATTTGAGAGGGACTCGCCTGAGTTTGAAATGTACTGGGACGTGATGGTGAGGGTAGGGGTCAAAATGTGAAAAAGTCACATCTGCTTAAAGCCTCATCAGATGGGGCTGACTCACCGGAGAAAAATTCTGTCTCTTGACCTCGGGGGGAATGCCACTCACATGCCACGGAAGCACGGAGAGCATCCACATTTTTCTCCTGTCATCAGAGTTTTCCTTTCCCTCGAGCATTCCCAGGCAAGTCAACTAGCACAATGTGGTTTTTACCCAAATGCTAGAAGAAAAACGTTACATGCGACTCTGCATAATCTTACCAAGCATCAAAATTGCTTTTAAGACTGCAAACACAGCTCCCACTTCTATACTGTTGTGAGCAGCAGCCAAGAGGTGACGATCACAAGAAGAACGAATTCCAGGAAATAACTTCTCTAAGGAAAGAAGAGTAAATCTTGTAGAAAATGGTTGTTATTTACCAACTAAAATTTCCTCTGTACAAAAATCTTTCTCGCCTAGAATAGCTACAGAAGCACAATAACAGAATGAAGAGCTGAACTTTCTGAAATTAAAACTGAAGACCAGCAGGTAAGTCATTAAAATTAACTGGGACACAGGGTTATGATGTATTAAGATCAAAATAAGCTACGATCTGCGACTAGAAAAAGGAGCTTGTCATTTCACCGTGTCCGTTCCGTGTAAACAGTGAATTTAACCACAATGAGACACTGAAGTGCAGTTTGGTTTTGACTTCCCAAATTTAGGAAACCACCTCCCTCACCTAGTCTTCGTAACAAATGAGGCAGACTGATTAAGAGCAATGCCTGCTGCACAGGTAAGCCTCATTCTGCAGCTCAGAAGCAGAGTGCAGGAGCCAGTGAGTGCTGCTGCCAACCTGAAGGAGAAGATAAACAGACTGAAAGACAGGAAGGGAGAAAGGAAGGACGAATCTACCACCCTAGAATTCTAAGGCAGTTAACTGAGCTGTATGTACGAAAAGACTGCAGTGTGGTCACGTTTTGTTTGATGTTTAGAGTTCAGACATGATTTTTCCTTTTCATCGAAATCGACGTTTATCTCTAGGAAAGCCTGGGACCACGTAACGTATTTCTGCTACTCGGTATTCTTCACGGCTCTTACTTGTTTTGCTCCAAGTATGCAACAAAAGCTCATTAATTTCTGGTCAAAAAAGAGATTAATATTACTTTTAGATGGAAGAATTTGACACCACTTAACAGCTGAATTTTTTTTTTTCTTTCAATTTCATTTTCCCATAGAAATAGTCTTGTCATCAAATCTGACGAAATACTTGTAAGTCAGAACACAGGTTACTTGCAGGCTTGTTTCCTTTTAATTGTGAGGTGCTTGTTCTGTGCCTTTTCCCTTCTTCTTTTGGTCTGTGGCAAACACACACAGGTCAGACCACAGAATATTCAAATTTAAAAGGGAAGAGAACTACATTAATATATTCTGAGAACTAATTTCTTCACGTTTCTTCTGTTGGACTAAACGCTTCATTATACCCTATTTGAAATCACATTTAATTTCAATTTACATGCAAAGCTACCAAACTGCACGATGTGTATCCCTATAGTTTGTGTATCACGGTGAGATGACCCACTACAGGAGCCGCCACTGCCCGGACAGTACTTGGCACGAAGGAAGGTGGGCATTGTGACACGTACGACATTGCCAACAGCAGCGCTGGCACAAACCCAACATTAATAGGTACCAGGCTCACATGACTGTTTCACTGAAATTCCAAAACAAAATGAGAACTATCAGGACAGAACAGTTCCTCTAAATGTATTCCTCTTCCCTGAAGTGTACACAGATGTTGCGTTAAAACTTAATTTTCTTTTTTAAGATGAAATATTAATATGGCTGACTTTTATGTCAACACTATGCCACACCTGGGTGGCCAGGGGTTGATAATGAATAAGTTTCAGCAAACTTCTACAGTTTTACATCCATATAAAACATTTCCAATACAAGTAAGAATAGTACGTATCAACTTTCCACTAGTGGAACATCTGTAATTTCAAACAGGCTACCAGTTCTTCTTGCACTATGGGTATTTTCACCCATGAAATCTGAAGCCATCAAAAACCATCTGGGTTCACTTTCTGAAATAAAAGGCAGCAGGCAGCTTACCTGTTCCCTGGGGAAACAGGCAGACCTGGGGTGTCCTGAAGAGGTGCAGGAGAAGCCGACAGGTCATCCTCGCCCCAGGCTCGGCATCCGGATCTCCACAGGCTATAGAAGATGGAACATGGACATAAGGCATCTGTCCAGCACCTCACAAGTCCCAGTAGCAGGCCTGGAAACGTGCTACCTCACAGCCCCATTTTAAATGGGAATACAATAATTTCCTCAACAGGAATCAGTATTTATGGCTCCATTAAAACCAGGAAAGGACAGTATGATTTTTAGTAAGCGTCATCAATAGCAGAAAAGAATACACAGTTAAAATGGCTTTTCACAGTCAAAACAGAAATAAGAAACAAAAATCCATGCAGAAAGTGAAAAGAAATGTGTGAAGTGGCCAAAGAGGACCACAGCTACAGCACTCCAGGGCTGGAGGCACAGATGATGAGGTCAGAAGGAAAATGCCAACGGCAGACTGATGCCAGAAGGAAACGCACAACCTGAGCAGACCTGGCAGACATCTGAGCACATGGCACAGAGCAGAAAGGAGTCAGGAGCAGAAGATGGGGCTGCATAAAGGAAGGGGACAGTGCGCTGTCAGCAACTGATACCACCTGTCACACGTGGGTTCTCCGATCTAAGGTGGCGTTGCTCCTTCTGGGAGCTGCAGGGACACCCACGCTGCAATGCCGTTCCACAGAGCGCGGTTCAGAACACAACACTTACCCAAATCAATGGAGACTTCGTAAGAAGTCTGAAGTTTTTAACTGTAAGTTTTTCTCTTAGTGTTTTCTTACCAGCTGCAAGAAGAGAAGGCAGTGCAACATGCTGGACTACATCTTCCAGAGAAAAGCACTGCCGGGCAATCAGTATCGCAATGAAAGTGGCCAGGGAATCGTGGAACGACAGGTCGCTCACCTGGAAGGAAAAACATTGCAAAGTTTCACGTGACAGCGCACACATCACTGCCACGATTGTTAAGGAATTAACTATAAGAATAAACAGTAAAATGTTTACACATAAGCATCTGTCTCTGCATTTTAATGCATTTCCCAAACATTTTATGGCAAACACTGATAGCTCTTAACTTCATTTTAACAAACACCTATTTTAAATACTACAAACTTTGAAATAAAAAAACTTGAGAAAATTCTATCATTCTATAAAAACTGATAACATCAATACTCATTCCTTAGCTTCAGGATAAGAATAAGTCCCCAAAGTACACAGCTTCAATGTGTTCTTAAAGGCATATGTAACCAAACTATAGCTAAATGATCGAGCCAGATATCGGGTAACATTAGTCACCATAATCCTGCTGACTTTACCAGGACTGTGGTAACTTACACCAAGTGAGTAAGGAACAGCAAAGCGTACCACCCCTTCTAACACCTAAGAGCCAACACCAAAACAGGGTCTTTAAAATAGGTATAGTTATTTGCACATCCATCAGCATTTTAGAAAAAGTATAGACATGGCTGCTCCTTTCAAAGAGTACCTCTGATATTCTATAATAAAGAAAAAAAAATCTATAAAGAGAAAACTCTAAGCACTGTCCAAACTCTACATTAACCCTGAAGACGTAGGAAAGAATAAAAATCAATCAGGAATCTCATTAAAAGCCTTGAAAACTCAAATGGTTACAGGACTAAATTTTTGCTCAGCACTTTGTATTGAATGGAAAACTTACTACACCTCTAAGCGTGCCCCAGGTAAACAGGTTTAATAGATGCTTCAGTGCTGAACTTACATCCACACTGCAGAGCAGATCATTGAAACCCCAGACATGATTTGAAGAGCAGCAAAGAGCTTTCACGACCCCTAACCACTCGGAGCTGAGCACCGTGCAGCATGCCGTCAGCTCTGCGCAAAGGTTTGCTATGTCGTTAATCCTAGGAAAGAAGAGAAAAGCTAATACAAAAGCAAGATATTTTGTAAACAACAAATATTTAGGTCAAAGCAGATCAGTGCTTGGCAGAAGAACTGGTGATGCTTACTCGTGGAAGTTTATGTCCCAGTGTGATTATGCCACTGTACGTATAACTCAGTGTTACTAAGCTGAGGACAACTGGAGCATCTGGGAAAAAAAACAGCATGGGACTTGTACCCCATAACTTGCACCCATCCAACCTAGAGCAGAGTAGGGCCTTTACTTGGAGTAAACCCTCCTCTGTGCAGCCTGTGCTCCTGCCAGCTTCCCTACCCATGCGGAGCCGCCCAGCAAGAGGGACGGAGCCCCCAAAGCCCCGCTGCCCACAGCCCACCGGGACAGATGCCAGCCCCTCTGCCGGGCACGCTCCGGCCTCTCTGCGCTGCCACGCGAACAGCAGCTCCATCCCCTCCCAGGCAACAACGTCACGGGCGAGTGGTGCATGTGGTGTACACCCCCCACCCCGGGGCACCGGGACCCCTCGCTGCAGGAGCCCCCCGCCCCATGCCAGGCCAGTGCTGCTGCAGGAGGGAGGGGAGAGTCACAAAATCCATCAGCATTAACGAATTTTACTCCATAGATTGCACACTGTGTAATGCGTGATTCCGCGTAGGGTTCAGAGTTATGTAACATTTTGCAGAACAGAGCAGAGTTGACTCATCTCAGTGCAGGGTTTTTTTTCCTCTGTTCCACAGTGAAAATAATTTGTCTACATTTAGATGTTCCCCTTTGTTGCTCTTAGAAAACTGCTTCCTCTCAGCTCTCTGCTCTGCTGAGGATGCTCCACGTTTCGTAGAATCACAGAACGGTTTGGGTTGGAAGGGACCTCAAAGACCATCCAGTTCCAACCCCCCTGCCATGGGCAGGGACACCCTCCACTACACCAGGTTGCCCAAAGCCCCATCCAACCTGGCCTGGAACACTGCCAGGGATGGGGCAGCCACAGCTTCTCTGGGCAACCTGTGCCAGGGCCTCACCACTTTCAGAGGGAAGAATTTCTTCCCCATACCCAACCTAAATCTCCCCTCTTTCAGTTTTGAACTGTTGTTCCTTGTCCTGTCACTACAAGTCCTGGTAAAAAGTCTCTCTCCATCTTTCTTATAAGCCCCTTTATATGGCGAAAGGCCACAGGAGGGTCTCTCTGGAGCCCCCTCTCCCTCAGGCTGAGCAAGCCCACCTCTCAGCCCTTTTCACAGGAGAGGTTCAGCCCTCTGCCCATTTTTGTGGCCTCCTCTGGACCTGCTCTGGACATTTCAGAGATGGCATCACGCTGCAGACAGGGAGAAAGGTACAGGAACTGCACACACTTAGGGCAGGAGTCAATCAGAAAAGATAAGTGTCATGTTTTGAAGAAAAAAATTTCCTTGACTTTCATGATCTGTCAGCAATCTTAAAAGAGACTGTCAGCCACTGCTGCACCTAGGCCTAGCTAGACCTATCAAGACCAAGAATTTCTTAATAAAAATTGGAACAGAATCAAAACAGAACACCAAGATCTGGTGGTTTTGATTGTGTAAGAGGAATAGAGGTGCTGGGGGCAGAGGTAAGATCCCCAAATCAGTGTCCCTTTCACCCTGCACCACAGACTGCAGAACAGCAAACCAGGGTCAAACAGTTCCAACACTCAGTGCTACGTCTGCACAAGAAGGTCGAGTTTATACGTTTACACACTGGAAGAAGGAAGCAACTGAGAGAAGCACATCTGAGTTATGAAAGAAAACACACTGTTGGTGTAAAACTCTGACACCTATGTTCCTTTACTGCAAGGGATCTTCACTGTACTTCTTGTCAGCACCTTGGCATCATCTAGAAAGATCTAACAGAGGCATAAGAGCCAAGAAGTGTCACGCTGGATCAGGACAAAGCTCCCCCTGACTGCAACAGGAGCCAGCACCAGCTGGTGTCAGAAGACAACCCCAGTCAGACAGTGCTGGGCAACCTGTTAAGTGCAGAGCTCATCCAAAACTCGAATCGTTGGAGATCGACTTGAACTGTGCACCACGAGGTCCAAGCTGCTCTTGAACCACAACCAACGGCTGTTAGAACTCTAGTAGCTTCTATCCAATAAAACTCTTAATCCTTAAAAAAAATAAATTAGAAAATGTGGATATTACCTATGACAATGAATTTCATAATGAACAAATTTGATAAATTAAACACCAATTGCATCCAAAGAAGGAAATGACTCAACGCAGAACCTTCCCTTGTTTACAGGTTTCTAATGAGCAAAGATTGTCCTGAGCTGTTCTGTCCGAACCGGCACCACGGCCGACACAAAAAGCTCACCGACTGCCTTACAGTGAGTACTTCCTGCTCGTTACTCCCTTCTGTTAATTATGCAGATTGATTTGAAGAAACAACTCAGAGGAAACTTAATTGTGATAGGACAAGGGGTAATGGTTTTAAAATAGAGGGAGGTGGATTCAGGTTGGATACTAGGAAAAAATTTTTTACCATGAGAGTTGTAGAACACTGGAACAGGTTGCCCAGAGAGGTGGTGGATGCTCCATCCCTGGAGACGTTCAAGGCCAGGTTGGACGAGGCCCTGAGCAACCTGATCTAGTTGGAGATATCCCTGTTCCTTGCAGGGGGGTTGGACTAGATGACCTTTGAAGGTCCCTTCCAGCCCTAATCATTCTATGATTCTATGATTCTAATTAATTTGCAGCAACCAGAAAGAGTAATAAAGGAAAATGACTGCAAAAAAAAAAAAGACACAAACCAAAAAGGTGAAAGGAAACCTCATATACACCGTGTAAAAATGCCCCCAGTTCCGCCTCCAGCAGGGTCTGCCTCACCTTCCTGCATCTTGGTGCCCCATGCACACGTTCATCAGCGCATTGCAGACAAAGCTGTAGCGGTTGGCGGCGTTATCGCTCAGGATCTTGCCCAGCATTGAGTAGTTAATGCTGTGAGCAGATGGATTCTCGATAAAATCCAGCATGAACTCCGGGTCCCACAGCAGATTGGAATTTGAAGGCTGAACATTGCTGTATATCGTCTGCTTCACCTTAGAACAGGCACTACTGAGGACCAAAAAGAGAGAGTTGCCACAAGCGGATTTTGCAGCAATAACTGTTGAACATTCCACGTGGGATGAGAAAATCCCGGTTTGATTACCGTTCTGTACACATTTTCAAACTCATTTTTGATAAGGAGCATCCACCAGAAAATAAGGCTGATACATCAATTTCATTCAAGTTTTCCTACAAATAATGTCTCAGGTTTCCAAATTGCTTCTATGGCGTTCCCGTGACTGAAATTGTGAGCAGCTGGATAAGGACCACACATTCATTCCTACCACCAGTAACTTCCTGGAGCACCAGATGCCTCTACAGTGACCTGTAACGGAGCTTCGTAACACTGCTCCCCCTCTTCATGTGCTGTGACACAGCCAACTGCCACGGTGGTAAGAAGAATTAAGGACAAATGAGAACATTTACCTAAATTAAAAACTCTACATTTGGTAACAGCGTGACATGTTCTTATGACAGACAACTTTCTGAAAGATTAAAGCAGTAAACAGAGAAAAGATACTTAGAGGTCACGTTTTGACATTAACAATTATGACAAAAGGTCAAGAGATGTTCCAGGTTAGGAATACCAACGTGTTTATTGGCCTTCTTCAGGAGAAAAAAAAAAGGTGCTAGTGAAGAATGCAAATTTCACACAAAAAGTGTTCGAAGGAGCATTTGTCTCAACGTTTGCTTGGATACCACAGCAGGAAGCAACACTCGTATGGACAAACGTCACTAATCATCCCAACTGGAAAGACTTCCTCACTACTGAAACAAATCTATTAATTGAAATGAACTTAAAACACGAGAAACCTCTGGAATTTTTTCAGAACTCCACTGACCCCAGGATGAAAAGCAAGAAGCAGCACTGTGCTGCCTGGAAAGCATGTGTGACCTGAGGAAGGGGCGCGATGTGCCAGGCAGCGCCCGGACACAGCGCTTGGAGGGCACCTCCAGGGACACCGTCGCTGTGCAGCCCCTGCACACCACTGCTCCTCACTGGCATGCTCCAGAGCAGGAGGAAGAGGCCATCAGCAGGATAATTAATCCACAAGAAAGGTAATGCCCGAGGTTAACCCTTTGCTCTAACAGCCAGTGTAACAGCAAAGAAAGAAAACCAACTAGTGGAAGACCAACACCCCACGCCTCAAACACCAGGCACTATTCCAGTGGGGTCTCAGGCACCCGTGTCCTGGGCACACACACGTCCCGACACGCCGTCGGCACGGCACCTACCTACGCTTGCCCCCCGGCTGGCAGAAAGAAAGGTCCAAACCCCAGCTATACAACACTGGGTATGTGGGCAAAGCAGCCTCTGCAACCCTCCTTGCACGAGAAGTAATGCTGGGGGAGTGGTCACAAGATAAGATCTTAAAAAAAAGTGAAGGAATGACTTGAAAAAAGGAAGTTTAGTGAACACAACTGAGTACCCTACGCACGCTGACCCCAAACACGCCGCTCACTTAGCAAAGCCCAGCCACGAGCGACACGGCGGGCGGTAACGGACGCCGTTTGCGACGCGCTGCAGCGCACGGAAGGTAAGTCTGAACCGGGACATTTACGACCCGCACTCTGTTGTCACTTCAGATGGGCATAGAGACAGAAACAGCTGGACTTGCAGCGTGCCAAAAAGGAGCTTAAACAGTCGCCATATACAGACAACTGGCTTTGGCTTTGTTCCAGTTGTAGCACGGAAACCAAGAAGAAAACGAGTGTAGTATTATTATACACAGCTGTTTAAAAAAGTATACATAAATTTTATTACCAGTTTTCAGAGAATTTCTAACTCCATTTATCCAAGAAAAAGGGCTTCAAATCAAGTGCTGTATATCATATATTTAATATATGATTTAATACCTTAAATATCTCTGTGTTACTAGATGATGTTTTAATTTGCTATCGTAGGTTAGTATTAAGAAAAATGTTATTTTTTATTGTGTTACTGAACTTTAGGTTTTAAGTAGGAAAATGAACATGCAGCTAAGACTTTTCTGTTTCTCATATTAAATGCTACTGTTCCCATGTCTTTAAAACCTATTAAAATATTAAGATTATCACTGAGAATGCTTTTCCTGCTCCCTATGAAATGAAAACCACAAATCTGAAATAAGCAAACAAAACCCAGGCATATAAACCAGGAGGGAAACAGTAACTGGAGCGGTTTGTGACTCTCACAAGATGCAGATTTGCATTTGAAAGGTTTCCACTTGCCCTTTTAAAAGTAAGAGCCAAAAATACAGCATATGCGCACCTAAAATATTTTTTTAATTTAAAAATCAAGGAACTGAACATTTGATCATAAAACTTCACAAACTCAAACATGTTTGTGCCTTTCCCCACATCAAAGGAAATATTTAACAGAATATTACAGCTGTGTCAGCTGAGATTTTGCTATTTTCCACCCAACACGGTCTGTTTTACGGCCAATCTGCCGTGACAGAAATCGAATCAGTCGCATCACTGTCTGCGAAAGCAAAGGTGTGCAGGGAGGGCAGCCGACAGCCCGTGCTGCCCTCGCCCCACGCCTGCCCGCTACCCACCAGCGCTGCCAGGGGGGCTCACCCTCTGCTCCTCCACAGCAGGTGCCCACCCAGCACCAGGACTTCACAGGCTCAGGACCACCCGCTGCTGGGCTCGGCACGGGCAGAATTGCATCAGGAAAGGCGAAGCAGCGACGGCAGCGGCGTGTTTTCCACGGAAAGCAAAGCAAACTGAAACCACAGCAGCCTGTGCCAGTCTGCAGGCTGGGCAGTGGGGAGAAAAATCCTGCACCACCCACCTGAAGAGGTCTCCAAACTTGCTCCTCAGGTGACTGCAGGACACGTACAGATCGTAGAGGTAAGCTAAAATACACCTTTCTGGGGAGGAACACTCCGAGGGATTAACGACGTGCTTTACCACCCCGCACAACCTGCAAAACCAAAACCGTTCTGAGCTCATTCCAACGCACCTTAGAATGTGTCTCATACTGCAACATGTCATATAAACCCCACCACTAGCTGGGCAGCGCGATGCCAGCCCTTGCACCTACAGGCTGGTGGGGCTCCTGTGAAGTCTGTGCCTTGCCCTGCCCCAGGGAGGACACAGGGGCACTCGGGGAGCCCGGGGCAGAACGGGGCGAGTGGGCAGGAAATCAAGATACACAACGCCCCGCTCCTCCCGGGCTACACGGTGTGCAGGTCCCACCAGCCCCCAGCAGTGGGGAGCAGGGCAGAGGTGAGCCACCCGCTGCCCTCACCCGAGCTCACTTCCAGCCTTCCGACAGCAGTGCGACAGCGGATCTCACTGCCTGAACCCAAAGGCACCTTTTGCCTAAGAGAGAACACCAAAAACATTTCTTGGAAAATTGTAGCTGCCACGAACCCTTCGAAGACTTGAGCGGTTTGCTCGGAGTTGAGGATGAGGCAGG